ATGAAGCAATCCAATGGTGATGCACACAACAATGGCACACAACAATGGAAATTAGCTTTTGTTTTCCTTGTTCTGATATTTAGCTTGTAGTGTAGCTAGATATTAATTCAGTAGTAGAAGTGAAACAGAAAAGAGAATTAACCTAGCTGGAGGTATGACAGAATTAAAATTCAGACCTTCCTGACTCCATTAGCCTTTCTGCAATCTTGAAGGAAAAAAACAAACCTTAACATAGCCAGCAACACAAATTAATTAATTTCTAAATGTGTGATTATAGAACAGATACACAACAGAGAAAAAATAATGCTTCAAACAAGTTTCTTCCTTTCAAGAATACAAAAATGAGATGTTACATGATGGCTACATGAATACTTTAAGATGTTTTGATTCTCTCCCTGGACTCCTTCTATTTGGTCTTACACTTACATTTCAGTCTCATTTAGAATACCTGTCCTTGAAAAGTGCAACCCATTCAGCCAATGAGGAAGTCCAGAGGCACATGGGAAGATACACACAGTGCCTTCTCTGACAGAGAATCCTCAGTACAGAAAAAAATGGATCCCATTGGTATAAGAGATCATTAGGAAGACTTGTATCTTTATTCCTAATCAATGTAAATTAGGATTTATGTGGGTTAAACAGATGGCACTACAGAAACATAATGTGGGAAGTGACTATTGCCAGGTACTTTGACTTTAATTTTTTACATTTTAGGGTAAAAAATCATAGAATGATTTGGGATTGGAAGGGACCTTAAAGACCACGATTCCAACCTCCTGCCATGGGCAGGGACACCTTCCACAAGTTGCTCAGAGCCCCACCCAGCCTGACCTAGAATAATTCCAGGGATGGGGTTTCCCTGGGCAACCTGTGCCAGTGCCTCACTATCCTCACATTAAAGAGCTTCCTCCAAACACATTCTCCTTCAGCTTAAAGCCATCCCCTCATGTCCTACTACTACAACATACCCTTTCTCTCCAGCCCTCTTGTTGTCACCCTTTAGGCACTGAAAGGCTGTTCCAATATTTCCCCAGAGCCTCTTCTACTCCACATTGAACCACCCCAACTCTCTTAGTCTTTCTTTATAGGAAAGGTGCTCCAGCCCTCAGTTTATCTTTGCAGATCTCAGTTATGTCCCAATCCACTTGGCAGTGGAGGTTTAGGGGAATGTTGTTAAATTCAGTCTGGGAGATGTGGCAAATTTTAAGACGCCAACAAAGGAAGTAAGGCTTTTCATAAACTTGAACTTCAACATATCCAGACACAACAAGGTACTTACTAAAGCATTGACTGGAATTTTTCAGTCTGGTTTACAATATATTTTGAGAAAAAATAAGAAGAAATGATAGTGGTAGAAAAACACCACCAACTGTGGATCCATCAATGATACTTCATTGTTGCAATTTTGATTTCTATTGGTTGAAGTGATGGTCACAGTCTTTACTGATCTGGGGAAGACCATGATAACAAAGACCATAACAAAGTTCAACAGGTTAATATACACTCAAGTTCAGGTAGAGCACCCAGGTGCTTTCCCTGGGGTGCAGACTTTCATGCTGTCTGATGCAACACTGTGAATCACACTGTAAAACTGTGGAACATGCCCATTCCTCTGGTGGAAGGCCCCAGAAATGACTCTGGACATGTTTTGGGGGTCTTTGGTGGTTTATGACACCTTCTCTCACATCAGCATAATAGAGCCAATTACACTCCATCAGAAGGGATGAATAATATGAATGTCCCAGTAGCTTTTCCTGGTGGGAGGGAGAGAGGGGTTTTACAACTGAGACAGTTATGTAAGGAATGACACTTCTAGAATTAAAAGCATTATCCCATCTCACACGATCTGCTTATCAGCCTCTTCCCTTATCTAGCTGAAACCCTAGCTTCTTGCTAAGCAAAGGTTGATTTGTCATGGTCACCCTCTGGTGCTCACACCCCCTGCACATGGGTTGTTTCCTTGAGCATCAACAGCCAAACACCTGATGGTTTGAAACACTAACTATTAATGTTTCAGTCTCTCACATCCTCATGAGGACCTGATGGTGCATAATGAAGACTTTTGAAAGGGCTAAACATTTAAACAACTTTGAAGAACCATACAACATTGCGTATTTCATATTTAATGAACACATGCATAAACACACACGCGTGCGCGCACACACACACACACACACACACACACACACTTTTTGTATGAATATAAAAGTTGAAGTATTTCAGGGCATCACCCTTGTGTCACTGTACGTAATGACTGTAAACAGCCCATTAATTTCACATGCACAGCCATCAGCTGCTGGTGCCGGAGGGACAGCCCAACCTGACACTATCTCAGGGGCTGCAGGGATCAAAGCTCTGAGCCCATTTCTTGGGAAAGTTTGCCATCTAGAGGCCTTATCAGGCAGCACCAGGAGAGAAAACTACCTTAACAAAAGAAAAACAGATTAAGTGGATTTTCTGGATGTCCGTAGGCATTGGTAGTTCAAAAGAGCACTGCTTTTATTACATTTAATGTTTAGCTTCGTTAGCAATATCACCTTGAAAGTGTTGAACTAATGCTTTTCCCCAAATAAGAATCAGTTCTTTACTCAATGAAATGAGCTTGGTTGTAGTGTAAGGGGATTTTTCAAATATTCATAAAATATAACCAAAATAATTAATTTTAATCTTTTTACAGTAATAACGAACTTTTCATAGACCATCTTCTGCTCTGTTTGTGCAGGAGAGATGAAATTAGTAGTAAAAACTAGTATGTTCATCACAGACAGAGCTCAACATTTGTGTCAGCAAAAGGCAAAAATTTATTTTCTTTGGAGTATTTGTTGTCCGTACTATCCTCATTGCTCTCAAACTACATGAATTTTTTATGTCTGAAGAATGTTGACTGGTATTTCAATTTTTGTTAGTTTGTATCAAATTAGAGAAGAAAATAATTTTTGAATGAAAATACCATTGAAATACATTTAGACAAGAAAGATCTTCAAAGATATTTTGCTAACTTTCCAGCAAAGTTTTCAGAAAGACAGTGGTGTTATACTTTCAGGACTATTTGTGTATAAATCAGTATCCACTTGTGTTTAAGGATTTCCATTTGCCCTCTCAGATGAAGCAGATAATAATTTGGTTATGCAGTGTTCTTGTTTACTCTTGCACCAAGAAAAGATGTCTTTTCATACTCAGTTGCCCAGGAGATACAGAAATTTTCTGGGGCAGTAAAACAAGATGTTTAAGTTATGAGAAAAAGATAGTAGTCTGGAAAACTCCCTCTTTTTGAGACATACTTTCTATGTCAATTAGCTGATGCTCCCTGAATTTTCACCATGACAAAAGATCAAGCGTTAAAGACCAGCACCAAAATCCGACTTCCACCAGCAGGTGTTTGGCAGTGTGGTAATGAAGATAATGGGGATAAATTTTTAGAGATCTTTGGCCTCTCAAAGCTCTGTTCACTAAGCTGCAATAGAGATTTTGTTGAAATTATGTTCAATACATCTTGCTGGAATTACTGGACAACCTAAGAGCATGATTTCCACGTCTTGACAGATTATCTTCTTAATTTTTGTTGTCATTATTTTATTGGCATTGGAATCCAGGTAAATATTTAGCTTCTGTAAAACCTGAGGCAACTACTTCTAACAATTCAGTTTCATTCGCATGTGAGTGGCATCCCTTTGCTTATTTTGAATATATCACCACACAGTTTCACATGATGACCCTTGTTTCTTGCAATGAAAAAGATGGTGGTCAACCATTCCTAAAGATGTGGCAGGTTTTTTACACAGGGCTTGTTCCCAGTCTTAATTTATAGGTGCAAGTGGAATATGTTTGCATGGCTTTCTCTAATTCCAATAAAAATTCTCTCAAGCTCCTGTGTTCACCAGGTGTAGCTGAGCAGAAGTTTAGAGATGTCTTCCTTTTGTCAGAGACATCAAATAGAGAACTCCATAAATTAGAAGATACATGATTACATCCTAGGAAAATCACTGGTCTGACATGCAGAAAACCTCTGCTTCATGCTTCATTTGAGTGAACTTAGTCCAAATAGATCTTTGATTCCCCACCCAATATGGATAATGATATCAGTTGTAAAAGAGCTTGTTGTAAAATATACCCATAAATGAGACATATATGAGACCTAAACATTATTAACACATGAACTCAGAAACTTTTGTCTTGTTTTCTTTTGTCAGTGGGTTGGTCCAGAGGAATTCAAGCTCTAACATCAAAAATGTGAAGAACAGCAATTACTTGCTAGTACTGCCAGAGAAAGCTTGGTGGAAATAACTGACTAAAATTCTATACTATTTTCCCAAGGCAAGTGAGAGCTTGCAGCTACTTATTAACTGAGAAAGAACTGGATCTACTAGTGAAAAAAACCATAATAGACAAAATTTAATTTTATTGAACTTTTAAATATATTGCACAAATTATGCTCTAGTATGCTCAGAAGAAATACAGCTTTTCCTGTATTACTCCACACAGAATATTTTTATTCTACAATCATTCATTTTTTCTAACAAAGCCATTTCTTTTTATGTAGCATATATCATAAAGTTGGACTTTACAAAGAAGCTAAAGAAATTAGGAATTTAAAATCCCAGTGATACTGTTCCTTTGTAGATCCTACTTCTACCGTTCTGATTAGTACAATCAGGTGTTACTTGACTGCTTTTTGTTCTTTCAAAATTGTACAGATGTGTACTAGTCATAACAAAGACATCTCTCTACAAAACCTGCACGTGTGTTCACTGGCATTGCATTTAAAGGAAAATAATTTTGAGCTTTGCATTGATTTTGAGCATTTTTTCTTTTCAGGAATCAAATACCACATTGCTTTCTAATAGGAATTTAATTAATTCCTCTTGTTCAACAATTAATTAGTTCATGGTTTCTGTGTATGTATTGAACATGCATATTGACAGTTCTTTATGAGAAGAGGAAAGACATGAGGAAACTACACACACTGTAGTCACACTTTGCAAATATAAATTTTAGCAATATCATACAATGTGTTTCATGAGGGAACTGTACTCTTCTACCAATTTTTTCTTCTCATTTAATTTTTCCACTACATCATCCATTAAGTATGAGGCAAAAAAGAGAGTAAGAAAAATGATCGTTGAACTTTATTTTCTTCATGTGAAATACATTTATTAAATATCTTTAAACTATCAGATTTCACTTACTTCTGACAACTACCACACACACATATCTGATCTTTAAAGTTCATCTGCCTGGTTAGTGTCTGAAAATTTGCTCTCTATCATAAAAATGATAAAAGAGCAGTGTAAAATGAAAAAAGATAAACTCCTTATTGAACAATTCATGCTTTACTGACCATGTTAATGATGTAAACTGCAGTACCAGCATCTCTGTCATTTATCTTCAATCAGCTGATCAATAAAAGGTTACAGTCACCTCTAGGGCATGCAGAAATGGTAGTGTATGAGTGTAAGTTCACTACTCTCAGGAGGAAGAGACAGAACTACCAGTATAATTCTCAATGCTGTAGCAAATTGCCTTAGACTCACACACAAAACCTTGTAAATAATTAAACAACAACAACAAAACAACAAAAAAGCCCACCAAAAAATGAACAACAAAACCCCAAAACAAAACAAAACCACAGAGAATCTTCCCAAAGCAAAGGAAAATCCCAAACCTCCATTATACTGCATTAATGGGAATGTGACACAAATGTCTGCTTTTCTAAAACATGATACCAAAAAATTGTATTGACATATCTACAGAGAAAAATTAAAACTTCTTTTAACTTCTCTGATATAAAAGATGCATTTGCACAACCAGTGTTTTCAAACTAGATTTGGTATATTTATCAGTGTCATTACTTTAATGCTTACAGAGGTTTTCTTTTAAAGTCTTGGTATATCTGTGCACTATTGGGAAGTATTTTTAGAGGTGGTACAGAACAGCGGTCCTGGCAGCTTCATCCAGAGTGGCCAGTGCTGTGCCAGAGGAGAACAGGACAGATTTTCTTCACTGTTGAAAAGTCTCTATCAGCTTCACAGATCTCTGTCACCTTATTGCATGGTGAGATCCGTGGTGACTGAGGGGTCAGTACAACACCAAAACTAACAGTGCATTCAGAAGGAGAGATAATTTTACATTATAAAGCCACCAGAAATAAATAAGATAAAATACAATCTTGTGGAACAAGCTGCTGGGCAATCATCATTCTCTGTGTTTCACAACTTTAGTTCAAAGCAACACTTTTCAATCTAGAACTCCTGTCTAGTTCCACACTTTAGTATTGCTGCTCTAGTTTCATTTTTTCATTCCTCTGTTCCATCTGAAAGAGAAAATGGTATGGTCTTTTCACCAGACAGAGTAGTGCTTGTTTCTGACATTGATGTGAAACAAAAAATATAACAGAAACAAATAAAGACCCCAGACATAAAAGCACATTAAATGCAAAATGTAACATTTGGACTGATATACAGACATGAATCTATATACTGATATTTATAATTGCTAACATGTCATAAAAAATCTACAAAAGGAAAATCTTGTTAATAGAAGGCATGTATTGTGAAGAGATACAATGGCAATCCTACGTGCTGCTCAACAGTCACTTTGTAGTTAGAGAAAAAGGACAACAATATGTATTATTTCCTTTTTCTCTTTTCCCCCGCAGGAAAGGGGGTTTTCAAGGGCTGGTTCTTGCTGGCCAGACATGTCTCCATCTGTCATAATTAATGTACATGTGTGGTAAGAAATTTCTAGAAGACCTCTACACCTGTCAGCTTCCTCCTGTGTGCTATTGTGATGACTTTTTGGGGAATAGAGGGCTCAAATTCACTGAGCACAAATCTATTCTATAATATAAGACATAATCTTACCTGAAATTCTGGGACTTTCAGTTGCTACTATGCTTTAAAAACACTGATTCTAGTATCCTGTTCACTCTAATTCCTCTCTTTTTCTAAGTATATTTTTTATAAGAACACTGTATCATTACCTCAAAGTCTCTAATTCTTCTTGCCTAACTTGGCTTCATCCATTTCTGATACATTTCACCTCCTTAATGCTGTGCCTGAGATGAATGGCTTCTTATTGATGTCTCTGGCTCATATCATTCTAACTACATTTTAGTTGCTGCTCACTACTCTCTGTGGCTTCCATGTCATAGCAAAGTGATCTTTCAAGAACTCTTCCCATTTAAGTGATTCATTTAAATCAAGAGCATTTGAAAGTGGAACATTATGTCATTCTTTCAACATTTGTTGGTTTCAAAGGCAGTGCTGCATGTTTCTCTCTGGTTCTTTTTCCATACACACACCCAGAAATGGATGATCTCTATAGTCCTAATTTTTAATAGAAGCTTATCAGATTTACTTTTAATGATGGCTCTGCAACTATCCTGGGAAACTTCCCTTTACATTTCTCCCCAGAACTTCACAACCACTGAAGCCATCTCTACTCTAAAGCATTCATCCCAGCTTCAAAAGGTTCCATATGCTTGGGGAAGGTTCTGGAAGTTCAGTGAGGGCCAAGTGCACACCTAAGGAGTGAAAGTTTGTTTTCCCCACTGATAATTAGATATTTTAATACAGAATGATACTTCTTTCAGATTTTTTTTACCAATATCTGTGCCACAACCCACTTAATGTTAATTGTGGCAATGCTAAATCAGTACACTATGGTAGGCTTTAACAGAAGTAGTATTTAATTGATCTGTATGATTTCACAACATCTGAATGGGCAAACTACATCTGGATTAAAATAATTTTATTTATTTGACTTCCCAGAATTACAAATTTCTTCTTTGACAGTAGGAAGCTGTATGAATGAAAGGCATATTTCTTACATAACTTATCAGACAGATATCTTGGTGTATATAAGGTAATGTGATCCTAAAGAGTCAGAAAAAGTGACAGTTAATTCTCCTTCTCTCACCTATTTATTCTGACTCTAAGTTAGCTTCTTTTTGAGATCTCTTCCGTAAAAAAAACCAAACTAGTAATATTTATTGACCTTAAACGACATGTCTGAGTCTCTGTCAGCACAAGTGCATAAATATACACCCATCTGCCAGTGAAAAGTCTTATAATGAATGCAAGCCAATGTTTCTTTTCTAATGAGACACAGCATCTCTATTTGCAGAGTGTAGCATTACTCCAGCTTCTGCTTCACAAACTCTAAAATGCGTTTGCATAAAAATAAAAGTATTTAGGTAAATTAGTGGTTACAACTATTTCACACCTCCCCATATAGATCACCAGTATACATTTTCCCAACAAGAAACTATTCAAACACACTGCAGAGCTGCCTTAGATTGAATTAAGTGCACCACAAAACATAGTATGAAATAAAACTAGGCACTAAGACCAATACCTAAAACATCCTAATTTCACTAAAAAATAAAAGTCAAAATTAACGAAGAAAAAAGAAAGAGAAATACTTCATTTTATTGTTGGTTTTTATCTTATTCTTTGTTCTTATTTTGCTTCATGGTGGCTACATATACATCATTATATAAAAACATATGTGCCTATCTGTATTTTTATCTTGAGTGACCAAGGCAATTTCTCCTTGTTTTCAGTTCAGAGTGAGTGATATAATGTAGTTTTGTTTGTGTGCATGAGATAAAACATAGATTTATACCATAATGGATTGTCAGTGTACAGGACTAACCTCTCATAATGAGAAGAAAACCAGGACCTGGTATCAGTGCTAACGGTACCCAGAATGTGGCTCAGACAGTGCTGGTACTACTTTTTAAGGTTCAGGTACTTGAAACAGCTGGTGATGGTGGCAGTGGTGATTGTGCCCAGGTGTTTGTGTTTGGGTGAATATACATTTCTGGGTGTGAGCAGTCAAAGACACAGTCAGACTGGAGAACTTAATGAAAGCAAAGCAGTCAAGTTACAAGCCAAGAAATTTGGAAGGAAACAGCTATGGTCATTAATGTCCATTCCCAGGTGACAGCAACAGAAATATGCATTTAGAAGCCAGTGAAAATCCTAAAAAGGAGTTGGGGAAAATCCTAACTGATGATTGGTGAATATACTGTTCTAAACCCTATTCTAGAGATGTGTTACACAAAGAGTGCCCATAGAATATAGGGAAAGGAGCCTTTCTATAGGTTTTCACTATTGGAATATGGCTTTTAGATCCATAATGAAGTCACATGAGAGAAGATTTTATTAGGCAGCTTTCTTAGTGTGAGATGTCATATCCCAAGGAGTGCATGAGGGAGGAAAGGCAAGTGCTGCTGTAGATCTCACAGGGACATGCTAAATCAATGCTGTCATCTGCTTCAGTGCTTGGAAAACTTAGGCAGATGATTTGCATTTCATTAAAAAGTAATTCTTGGAGACTTCAGGCAGTAATCTAGATTGGACTACCATGCTGTACTCACAAAATTATTAATAGATTTTTCTCAGATGGTGTTCCTTACAAAAAGTCACAGTAAATGAAAGCCAAGGGTAGTATAAGAAATCATGTTTAAGTTACATGAGAAGAAGTCATTGTCTTGGCTTAGCCATAAGTTTCTTATGACGTGAAAAAGATAGAAAAGATTGCTGTTTTGTGTGAGCTTTTAGGGAGAGTGTTTATGATTACAAGAAGAGAGTATTACTATAAAGAGCCAGGCTCAATTTATAAGACATACACACTCAGACATGAGGGATAAAGTGAGTAAAAGCCTCATCACTTGCCTTGCAAGATGTAAACACACATACATGTTGAGGTAATCATACTTACTCTCCCCTAAAAAATATAAAGCACTAAAAGCTCAAATGTCTATAATGTGAGACTTGTCCCAAGCCCAAACATTAGTGTGTAATTAGTCTGATGCCTCTACACATGCGCAGGTAGCAGATATCATGTGAAAACTCTCCACATAGAGGTCCTTCACAGGCCAGAGAACCTTTTCCTTTTATCCCAGTGCCAGTTATTGTGATGATTTTTTTTTATTCTTTTATTCTATAGTAAGAACATGAATGTTACAGAATGTTACATGTATGTTAGAATAAATACAGTATAAATACAGAGACAACAGAAAAAAACCCACTTCTTGGCCATTCAAGATGTATATTTAGACAAAAAGTGATTTTTGCCAGATCTGCTGAGTTTATAATATGACTATACTTTCCTATGATATGATTCTTGTTTACATAATAACATCGCTATGCAGAGATGTCTCTTCCAAATCATAAGCCTCTTAGTAGTGGTCTAGTTTCTTGACATAGTAGTTGATAAAACAAGGACACAAACTCTGACACAAACTGTGAGTTTCAGGAATGCAAGAGTATTCATTACATTCAATATATCACTAAAATATTAATATTCTTGTAAAGCTGACAGATATGAGACTTTTCCAAGTCATAAGAGTATGCAAAATAAAGGTACAGATGAAGTGAAAACAGACTTGTGGTATCCTTTATCATTACACTTTAGGGGAATCTATAAAATGACAGTAAAAAGCAACTAGTGCTTCGCTCAGTCCCCCCCAAAATTCTAGTGCAGCAGTAAAATGGCGTATGTCAGTAATAAAAATAAAATGTCTATGACATTTTAAATGTTATCGTACTGTCACAGTAGAATAAAATTAGCTTGAAGAATGATCTAAAGGGATATGATGCAGTTCATTATGTATAACAGCAATAGCAGCAGCTTCCCAGTGTTCATAAAGGTTTCTCCATTAAATTTACCTCCAGTCAATAATTAGGAGTCCACAAATAAACCCAGGCAATTAAATCAATACTGCTGGGCAATTACGTTCCAAAGTCCTGGCTCAATGGCACAAAAAGACACTATATCAAACTGCAATATTAAGTGATCTGATGCAATTTTCCACTGAACGTTTACTCAGAATAACAGAAAAGGGCAATTCTGCATCTTTGTTCAAGATGCAAATGGATAACACAGTTTGCCAACATGTAACTCGTAGCAGGCAGTCAGTTGTGAGCAAAACCCTGCAGAAAGCTTACATTTCACCGTGGGCTTTAATTTGCTGATCAGAAATATTACCAAAGCTTACTAAAAGAAACCGCAACCAAACTCTGCAAGATATGAGTAAAGCAATGACACAGAGCTGTTCCATGAGCTGCTCTCAAATACAGATGAAGAAATCTTAATTCTTTCCATCTATGTGCCTTAGCATGGACAGAAATGAAAAGCAGAGCTGGCTGCTCCCCAAAACCACTATAATCCTCTTGCAATTCTAAAAATGGTTTGCTTGCCAAAAATTACTTCTACCCTCAGTGTTTCTTCTGAGGAGCCCCACAAGATGGAGCAAAAATCACAGAAAATCACTATTAACTTGTACACAAATGTTTATGGCTAAGAGAAATGAGCTCTTCTATCCTTACATAACGTTTGCAATCTTAATATACCTAGTTTCATTCAACAGTTCCTTCACTGTCCCTCCCCTGGTTAAAATTCTGCTTAGTTTTTTAGCAATTTACCAAATAACAGAAAAACAGAATGAGAAGTGTTCAGTATATTCCATTAATCTGGTTCATATTTTGGAGTTCATAGTAGTAGGAACAGAATCTTGAAATTTATACATTTTTTAAAACACTCTTAAAATTAAGGCAATTGAGTGAATATAAATAATTGTGTTTTTAATGCTGAGTTTCATGTAGCATTATGAGGTTTAATTAAAATACTAGTTTTTCTGACAACACCAGTAAAAGCACACTGCTATTTCTGTCTCCTCTGCTGCAGCAATTAAGCAGTCTTCATGGTAGTAAGTTTTGATAATGGAAGAGAGAAAATCTGTTATTTCTTAGAAATCTGGTCAGAGAATACAATCTCAATACAAAGGTTGTTGATGGTAAAATACATAAATCTGATGTGACTTTTCCTTTAAAATGACAATCAAAATATTTTCAATCATTCACATTAACTGATATTAACTACATCACCAATGAACCCATGCTAGTGAATATGCATTACAAACACTGTATTTAAAAATCAAGTTTTATTTCTGTCCAGATATCAGCTGCCCATCATTTAAATAAAAGAGACAACTAAAAATATAACAGAAAAGTTTTAAGAGTCAGTGTATGTTGTCAGTGATGTCCAAACAAAAGCTGACTATGGCTAGAAAAGCTGGGCTCTCACCTGCCAATAAACTGCCCTTGATCACTTACAAGAGGGGAGCATCCCAGCAGACTCTCTGTGTATTAAAAAAAAAAGACTTGAAAGAGAAGAAAAAGTATCACACAGGTCACAGCAGCAGTCTCAATGGACCCCTCAGGGATTTCTGCTAGTCTCAGACTTGTCATCCTCTATGCAGCTTTCCTCTCTGCCCAGAAAATGTCGATAGGAAAATGTTTGAGGGGCCTCTGGTGGAAATTTTTTCATTCTTTCTGCATTGACAGGATGCCAAATCAATATTTACTTCCCACTAACAAGCTGCTCGAGGTCTCAGTAGAAAATATTGTAGAGAATGCGAGAAGACACGATAATAAACAGCTGTCTGGCTATGAGGAAAACATGAATTGACTGGAAACAGGTCCACAGTAAAAGGTCACAGAAACCCATGAACTCCTCAGGTGTCCATAACAACTAGTAACTTTAAAGGCACATAAAAAAAAGTCTCTTTTTCCTAAGAGGTATGAGAGAACAGATCATTTTCACTCTAGCAAGCATTATACAGTGTTTCAAAAATTCAATTAACACATTTGCCAAGATTTGCGCTGGTTTTCTCCAGCATGGTTTACTGGTTATGTTGCCTTAAGTTAGCTGTTAACTATCACAAATCCTTGATTAACACCTTTTGAGTTCTATACAGTAACTCTGATTTTAAGAGAAATACAAAGGAAATGCTACAAAACAAGGTTTTCACATTGCTCATCACGATATAGCTTGAGACCAACAGCACCATAATTAAAAATACAATGTATCAATTACAATCTAAAATAATTTAGCTAATCAGCACAGAGAGTTATAATTCATTGTGGGATGATATAAATTGAGCACCTGTGCTTCAAGAAGTTTCTGTATATGCCATAGACATTCTTTATCTTTCTCCAATTCCATTTTTGTCTTTTCTGTTTCCTAAAAATAGAAAAACATCAGGAGCAATAAAGGAAATGTGTAACTGAGTGTACATTAAGTATACAGCATGTGGAAGTCGGAATCACATTTGCAAAATTAGTTATCTGAAACATACTCACCAAGTATCAGTGCTGTATTAAATTTTTAAGCCTACCTGTGTCTGTGCATGCCTCTAGAAATGTGCATAGCATGTTCTTTTCATATGAATACGCTGGTGTATGTGTGATCTATGTCTAAATTGTATGAGTTCAACATAAAGGTGCCTGAGTCTATGCACTGATTGATGGAATATGTAGTGTATGTGTAGTGTAAATTCATCTCCTGTCTAATAAATTTGTTTTATATTTAGAGTTAACTATGTTTATGTGTTTTACACATATATTCACAGTGACTAAAACAAAATGATACAGGATGTAGAAATTACTCTGAGAATGAGATAAGCATGGAACAACTCTGTCAAACTGAATCACTTTATAGGGTTGTACAAATGTTAGTAAACAGAGCAGGGACCAGCCCATTTTATTTGTATTCATGAGTGTAATCCCCTATCAGTGCATACACATATTATGCACTATTGTTTAACCAACGAGAAGACTCCCTTTTTGCAACCTCTTTAATATAAAGCTCCAACAAGGCTAAATCTAAGTCATCACCAGAGTACTGCTACAATAATGGGCAGCTCCTAGACACTTGCTAAATTAACTGTACAGGCTTTTTCATTTATGATTTGATCAGGACTAAATAAATCTGGATAAGATGTCCTATCACTGCATCTATTTAATAGTGTGATTTGATGAAACACTATCAAATATTTTATAGAAAAATGTATGATAGAATCAACAAAAAAAGGCATTGAATTCACCCAGAAACAATCTGTCTACCAGAAATACCTTTAATAGGTATCACAATTTGTTGAATAGCAACAATTCAGAAAGGAAGTATCAACAAAATCAATCTGGCGCAGAAAGGCACATCCTAATTTTGTTTTCTTCAATGCAGAAGTCTCTTTAAAATGTACAATCCTGCCAAATAGTTTCACAAGAAAGGAAAATACTGAATAATATCTCTACATAAGCATGCTCAAAGCAGTATGTTTATATTTATACGTGCCATAAGTCTTGCCACCTTATGAGCCTCTAACCTAACCTTTTCATTCAGATTAAATCCTTCTTGATTTCTGTGCTGTGTCTTGCACAATGAAATTTCAATCTTTACCTGCAAATCCTTTTCCTCAAGGAGGGATATAGTCAGAATCATCTCATCTACGCCTTTTTTACTGAAGTCCTTAAAATAACTTACCTCATCATCTCCTTCTTGTAGTATTTCGTAAAGATCAGTTGTTTAAACATTAAGGATAGATGCTGCCAACTGAAGACTCTCTTGGGAAAGACCCTTTTTGCATGTTTTCATTTCTTCCATTTTTTTTGCCAGTTTAACTTTTGTTCTCTGCTCTTGTACGCTGTGGTGTAACTCTCTGGTTAGAGTCTAGAAGACATAAGCAAAAAATACTGTACTGTTATTTTTTTTAGTAGTTCACATAAGATGGAAAAATCAGTATTGTTTAGCCTAAGCCCCTTTAGATGGGAATTATCTTCATTCTGTGTTACTGGTTCAACAGTATGCATGCTGGGATATTAAAAAATATGCTACTTAGAACAGAAAACATGAATTAATACAGTAAACCAAAAAATGTTCTTAAATGTACATACTGTTTTGGTATATCTTTAGCAAAGTAACTATTCTTATAAAGCCGTCACTAGTAATACAAAGCAACTTCCACAGAATCAATCAAAATTCTTTCCTGACCCTGTCTAACAGAAATGTTCTTGAAGTAAGAACGTAAGTGCTAGGCTTCACTGTGGTCAAATATAATTTTTTTTAAAATTTTTTTAAAACTTATTGACATTCTCTGCATGCAGAAACACCAGTACACCTCTTTATTCAAAACCTGAAATTTTGTTTCCCAGCAAGAGAGGGTAATTCAAAACTGTCCTGGCTACCGAGTTCCTACCTTTCCTATATCTTAAGTTCTTTGGTTAAATGAAATAACGCTCAACATCAGTGTAATTCATCAGTTTTATAACTGAAGTAATTTTGGTTTAATATTTATGTTACTATGACAAAAAGATTTCATCAAAAGCTGAGCAAGACCATTTTATTTTAAAATTGTTGACTAACAAACAAGAGTAGCAATCCATTTTCAGAAGATCCTCCTAGAATATTCAACTTCCATGACTCAATCAGAACTGTGATTGTCAACACAGACAACTTGGCTGAGTTTAAAATGAGAGAAGAAGGTTTTCTCTTGATCATCCTAGTGAAGCTCATCTTATTAGCTCATCTTACATCTCAGTAGTGGCTGATCAGCTCCTCAAATTCTTATAATACAGAATGCCTTCATTTCACAGAAACTGACGACAGGATTATGAAGCCTGTTTATTGGCATTTTGGGTAAAGTATTTGGGTAAAGACTCATCCAATTCCAAGATTGTTTTCTTTCTACCACTTCCCAACTTAATGTTTTTCTGCATTTAATAAAGCTTAATTATTAACAATAAAAATATACTGCCACAAATCTGGGGAGAGGGGATACAGTGAAATTTGTCCAATTTTCTGATTCAAGTGTGGGTCCCTCCATCCACAGAATTTCCAACAAACTATTTCAGACATAAACCTATCTGCAAGTGCAGAGCTGAGAGGAATGGAGAAACGTGAAATGTGATAGGCAAGGACCTAGTGCAACTTGAACTAAGCTCATAGAAGGAAATAGACTAAGGGAAGAGGGAGCCCCAAAAAGAAAAGCACACACTAGGAAAAAAAAGTACAGATAAATGATATGTTTTTGTACCATCTGAATGGTATAACAGTAAATTGTCTCTTGCAACATATAGGAGATGTATTTGAGAATGGAAAATTAAGTTCAACACTACTTTTTCAATCAAATTGAATCAGCTTCCCATGTTTTAAAAAGAAATGTCTCTCAGGCATAAGTAATCACTCTAGAATATGCACATTTATAACCTGATGCAAAGAGGAAATGTAAATTAAAGGAGCAAAATACAAAGAAAATTACCTACAAAGCCACTTGGAAAGGCTACCAAAAAATGATAAATAACCAAAAACAGACAAAAAACCCATGATAATAAACAATGTTAAACATCCACTTGAATGCCTTAGGAATCACAGAAACATTGCCAGGCAATAGTTATTTGACATTATTACGTAAATGTTATTGGTAAATCCAAACTGCAAAAGAAGTTCCTGATGAATGAACAAGCTGATAGCAACAGTGGAATCCAGAAACTGCAACTCCAGTGTAATTGGCTTTTAGCCCACAGTTCCAGAAATGAAGGTGCCAGAAAGACACTGAAGAATCTATAGCATCAATTTAAAACAAAAGTAATAAAAATTAAAAAAAAAAAAAAAAGAAAAAAAGAAAAAAAGAACAAAGAAAAAGCAAGTTTAAACAAAAATCAAAGAAAAAGAAAATTACAGCTAGTAGATTTTATTATGCAAGCATACATTTTATATATAATCACAGCAGATCATACATATGGAGGGCTTGTACTTCAATTCCTCTGTCCCTTGAGCAGTTCAAATACACTAAAGCATATGTGGAGCACAAACCATATGTGAAAAATAAGGCTATTTTATGGACTTTCAAATTGGACTCTGAGAGACTAGCTATTTTTGAACCTCCTTCCTTCATGTTATTGATATAATGTTATGATATAAATTTTGTCGCTAAATAAGTGCCTTAAAAAATTATAGTCTTCCTATGATTTTAAGTTGTTTTTTCTTCTGATATTTTCTCATCTGTCATATCCTAATGTATTCAAGTGCTAATTATTATTACTTATTAGTGATTTAATTTATATCTTTGTTCATGCTCCAATATAGAACTGTTCAGTCTCAAGCCACACAGGTTTTAGAAACTGAGTACAAAACTCAAGAACTAAGCAGGATAGGTTTTGCTAATGAGTGTGCTGAAGCCAGTATAACATTGTTGTGTGATTAAGAATTTGATCCAATGTGTTCTGGAGCTAGGAGTAGATTTTGAACTAAAACATTTCCCTCTCTGTATTTCAAATTGCTTATTTTTAAACTAATAAGCATACATATGATGCCTTGAGAAGGCTGTCCTAGAACAGAGGCTAGACAGAGTTAAGAATAGAGTAGGTATTTACTAAAAGGCCTTAAAGGACACACCTTGGGCAGAACTAGTCCCTGGCCAGGGCTACACCCAAGATGGACCTAAAAAAATGGACAACTGGTTATGAGGTCTCACACTTTTATAAGCTTTGGTCCATCTGCCTATGGAGTTAATTGTCCAATCATTGCTTCAGATTATTAAGTCCCATCCTTCTTATTTTCTCTCTTCAGTCCACCATTGTTTATGCTTTTGGGCCTGAAATTTGTAACGATCATCCTTGATATCGAGCTGGAAAAGGAATTGTTTTGTCTACCTACTCTGTGTAGAGAGCTCACTAACACTTAATATGAAACTCAGAACTACACACCTAGGCAGCACAGAATAATGAAAAATATGAAAAGGTATCACACTGGTGATGCAAGCTACCTAAAATGAAATCAGTGCAATACATGACTTCTGTACTATACTGATTTATAACAATGCCTTTATTAGTACCAGTAACACCAGGATTTGAGATTTTTTCTTTGTTTTTTCCTTTTTCTGTCAAATTTATAGAATATTTTGTTAGCAAAGCCATTTTCCTAACTTAGATATTACCATCAGAGCTATTCCAGTGGGACACATTTTGCTGCTACCAGCCAACTGGAATAGGAATTCTTGATTAATTCCTAAAATGACTCTATACCACTTCTTGTTAGACCAGTGCAACTGCCACTGATCTGACTATAAAAAAAAGAAGCTTAAAAATCTCACAAAATGACCTTATAGTTCCTAGACCTTTTTAATCAGTAGCAATTGTTGAATTATCAAACAACTCCATATCATTTATATAGTATACATTACAGATGTTTGGTTACACAGAGTTCTGAAATATATCCATTACAAGCCTTTTTACTTTATTTTCACTACCTCAAATATTCATTTTTAAAAATATATTGTTTTCAAATTTATGCTCAGCATGTAATCACTTCTTAGCACTACATCTTTTGCCAGTTTTGAGATGTATAAAGACAAAGGTCTTCTTTCAATTAAAAGGTCATTTTTAATTAAACACTCAAGTAGCCTTAGTGACAAAAAGGCCCTGACAGCACACTATTAATAAGGTCTTCACATCCCAAAACACTGACACTCGTTGATCCTGGAATTAACATAATTTGATCAATGGCCCTAAATAATGTTTTATGAACAAGGCAATGCCAAAAATTTTCCTGTAATTACCATCTTAATTTACACGATATTATTGTTTGTAGCATAATAAAACTTAATGGTCCCAAGACCAATTCTGACGCTAGCTACCACTGTACCTACGTAAGCCAGATTTCAGTTTTGCACTGGTGCAGATATCATGGCAGAGTCCATGGCTCACAAGTGGCTCACAAGTCATGGATAATTTTAAGTTTTACTGTATTTTGTACAATAGTAATAACAGTGTGCTGCATGTGGCTGAGATCACAGAATCATCAAAGTTGGAAGAGACCTTCTGTATCACCTAGTCTTTAACCACAGTAGCCAAATTAAGGTTCAGTTTAGCTCTGGCCCTTCTAATTTTCTCTCCGCATACTTTACAACATCTTTTTAGTTCCCCCAAATTACCTTTTCATCCTTCCAGAGATGCTACACCTTTTTTTGTCAGCAGTTTGAGCCTAAGGTCTCTACTAACCAGGCCAGTCTTCTTTCCTGCTGGCTTATCTTACAGCTCAAATGGAGATGGAGTTAATTGTCTTCCAGCAGCTACTAAGGTGCAGTGTTTGGGATTTGTAAATAAACCAGTGCTGATAACATACCAGACATTGCTAAGCAGCACTGGCACAGTGTTAGGGTCTTCTGTTTTCCATGCTGTCACCTCGGCAAGTGGGCTTGGGATGCACAAAATGTAGAGAGGGAACGCAGCTGGGACAGCTGGCCCCAAGTGATCAAAGGGACATTTCACACATACGCTGCTTAACAATAAAATCTGAGGGGGATGGTGATTTGTCAGCTCAGAGACTGGCTAGGCATTGATCTACATTCCTTGGGGATTTATCCCCCTTTCTTTCCTTTATTAAACTGTCCTTACCAACACACAAGTTTTCTCACTTTTGCTCTTCTTATTCTTTCCCCAGTCCTACTGGGGGAAGGGAGCAAGCAGGGAGTCAACAAAGTACTGTGTGGTGCTTAGCTGCTGGCCAGGTCAACCAACCACAAATATACAGAAGAATAGAATAGAATAGAATATACAGAACTATTTTGTATGTAGTATTGTGTGTGTAGCTCAATATGGAGGTGTCTTTAGATAAAAGTAATTTTAGAAACTCACTTGTTTTGCAGATTAGAAAAGTAAATGGACATGGCT